GAGAGACCCCATCTCAAAAAAAAGAAAGAAAAATTAGCCAGTTGTGATGACATGTGCCTGTAGTCCCAGCTACTTGGGAGGCTGAGGTGGAAGGATCACTTGAGCCCAAGTAGTTTTTGTGGTTTTGTTTTTGACTTTGTAATAGCTGTATTTTTATTTATCCATCTACTTGAATCCATTATAACATTGGTTCTACTGGTCAAATCTACTAGTTGAAACTTTATCTTCCTTGGTTTCCTTTTGTTTTTTCTTTTAAATTACAATAGGTTTAGTGGGTACAAGTGTTTTTTGTTACATGGATGAATTGTATAAAGCTGAAGTTAGGACTTTCAGTGTACCTGTCACCAGAATAGTGTACATTGCACTGGTAGGTAAGATTTTTATCCCTCTCCCCCTTCTACTACCCCTTTCTTAGTTTTCAGTGTCCATTACACTACTTTGTGACCCTATATACCCCTTGTTTAGCTTCCACTTATAAGTAAGAACATGTGATATTTATTTTTCCAATCCTGAGATATTTCACTTAGGATAATGGTTTTCTGTTCCATCCAAGTTGCCACAAAAGACATTATTTTATTCGTTTTAATGGCTGAGTAGTACTCCATGGTATGTATGTATATATATTTATTTTTCCACTCATCAATTGATGGGCACTTAGATTGATTCCATACCTTTGCAATTGTGAATTGTCCTGTGATAAACATTCAGATGCAAGTGTCTTTTTAATAAAAAGACTTCTTTTCCTTTGGGTAGATCCCTGGTAGTGAGATTGCTGGACAGAATGGTAGGTCTACTTTTAGTCCTTTGAGGAATCTCCATCCTGTTTTGCATAGAGGTTGTAGTAGTTTACTTTCCCACCAGCAGTGTATAAACTTTTCCTTTTTACTGCACCGTCCCAACATCTGTTGTTTTTTGATTTTTTAATAATGGCTATCATGATGGGATAAGGTGGTATCACATTGTTGCTTTAATTTGCATTTCCCTGATGATTAGTTGTGTTGAACATTTTTCCACATATATTTTTCTTGGCCATTTGTCTATCTTCTTTTGAAAAAAATCTGTTCGTGTCTTTTGCCCACTTTTTGATGGGACTGTTGGTTTTTTTCTTGCTGATTTGTTTGAGTTATTTGTGAAGATTAGTCTTTTGTCAGATGAATAATTTGCGAATATTTTCTCCCATTCTATAGGTTGTCTGTTAATTATTTCCTTTGCTGTGCAGAAAGAAACCTTTTAGTTTAATTAAGTCCTATTTTGTTGTGGTTGTTGTTGTGGTTGTTGTGCTATATTTGCTTTTGGGAGTCTTAGTTGTAAATTGTTTGCCTAGGCCAATGTCCACAAGAGTTTTTCCTATGTTTTCTTCTAGAATTATTATGGTTTCAGGTCTTATACTTAAGTCTTAAATCCATCTTGAGTTAATTTTTGTATATGGTGAGAGATACAGATTCAGTTCCATTCTTCTGCATGTGGCTATCATCCCATTTTCCCAGCATGATTTACTGAATAGGGCATTCTTTTCCCAGTGTATGTTTTTGTCTGCTTTGTCAAAAATCAGTTGGTTATAGCTATATGGCTTTATTTCTGGGTTCTCTATTTCTATTCAATTGGTCTATGTGTCTATCTTTACACTAGAACCATGCTGTCTTGGTTACTATAGCCTTGTATACTTTGAAGTCAGGTAATGTGATGCCTCCAGATTTGTTCTTTTTGCTTAGAATTGCTTTGGCTTTTCAGACTCTTTTATGGTTCCATATGAAGTTTAGGATTATTTTTTCTAGATCTGTGAAAAATAATATTGGTGTTTTGATGGGAATCACATTGAATCTGTAAATCACTTTGGGTAGTATGGACATTTTAACAATATTGGTTCTTACAATCCATAAACATGGGATGTTTTCCATTTGTTTGTGTCATCTATGATTTCTTTCATCAGTATTTTGTAGTTCTCCTTGTAGGAATCTTTCACCTCCTTGGTTAAGTATATTCCCAGGTATTTTATTTTCTATGAAACTATTGTTATTTTTGCTTTTTTTCAGGCAGAGTCTCGCTCTGTTGCCCTGAGTAGAGTGCAGTGGCATCACCATAGCTCACCACAACCTCAAACTCCTAGGCTCAAATGGTCCTCCTACCTCAACCTCCAGAGTACAGGCATGTGCCACCACGGCGAGCTCATTTTTTCTATTTTTGGTAGAGACAGGGTCTTGCTCTTACTCAGGCTGGTCTTGAATTCCTGAGCTCAAGTGATCCTCTCTCCTCAGCCTCTCAGAGTGCTAGGATTACAGGCATGAGCCACCATGCCTGGACTTCTTTGCAGCTATTGTAAATGGTATTGAGTTCTTGATTTGATGCAGTCTGATTTGTGTACATTAATTTTGTTACCTGAGACTTTGCTGAATTTATTTAATCAGTTCTAGGAGTCTTTAGGGTCTTCTAGAAATAAAATCATATCCCAGGCAAACAGGGATAGTTTGATCTGGTTTTTCCCAATTTGGATGCCCTTTATTTCTTTCTATTACCTGATTGCTCTGGCTAGGAATTCCAGCACTATGTTAAATAGAAGTGGTGACATTGGGCATCCTTATCTGGTTCTTAGGGGGAATGCTTTAAATTTTACTCCATTTAGTATGATGTTGGCTGTGGATATGTCATATGGCTTTGATAATCTTGAGGTATATTCCTTCTATGCCTAGTTTGTCAAGGGCTTTTATCCCAAAGGTGTGATGGATTTTATCAAATGCTTTTGTGCATCTATTGAGGTGATCATATGTTTTCTTTTTAATTCTGCTTATATGGTAAGTCATAGTTATTGATTTGCATATAAAACCATTCTTGCACCCACTTGATCATGGTGAATTATCTTCAATGTGCTGTTGGATTCTGTTTGCTAGTATTTTGTTGAGGATTTTTACTTCTATGTTTATAAAGAATATTGGTTTGTAATTTTCCTTTTTTATTATGTCCTTTCCTGGCTTTGGTATCAGGCTGATACTGGCTTTGTAGAATGAGTTAAGGAGGATTCCCTCCTCCTAAATATTATGGAACAGTTTCAGTAGAATAAGTGTCAATTTTTCTTGGTAGATCTGGTAGAATTCAGCTGTGAATTGGTCTGATCCAGGGCTTTTTATTTTTGGAAGTTTTTTTACTACTGTTTCAATCTTGCCACTACTTGTTATTGGTCTGTTTAGGATTTCTATTTCTTCCTGATTCAAACTAGGGAGGTTGTGTGTTTCCAAAAATTTATCCATTTCCTCTAGATTTTCTAGTTTGTGTTCATAGAGGTTTTCTTATTAATCATGATGATATTTTGTATTATCATTTATAATGATTACTTTTTAGTTTCTGATTGAATTTATTTGAGTCCATTCTCTTCTATTTGTGGTTAATCTAGCTAGTGGTCTATCAATTTTGTATATCTTCATAGAACCAACTTTTTGTTTCATTGATCCTTTGTATTGTTTATTTCATTTCCATTTCATTTAGTTTTGCTTTGATCTTTGTTATTTCTTTTTTTCTGCTAGCTTTGAGTTTGTTTTCTTTTTCTAGTTCATTAAGGTATGATACTAGGTTGTAATTTGTGATCTTTCTGTCTTTCTGATAAAGGAATTTAAGTCTATAAACTTCCCTCTCAGCACTGCTTTTTCTGTATGTCAGATTTTGAAAGCTTGTGTTGTCTTTGTCATTCAACTTGAAAAATCTTTTGATTTCCATTTTGATTTCATTAACTCAAGGATCATTTAGCAGTAGGGTTGTTTAATTTCCATGTATTTATGTAGTTTTGAGTTTTCCTCTTGGAATTAATTTCTAATTTTATTCCACTATGGTATGGAATATATGGTATGATTTTGATTTTTCTGATTTTGTGGAGATAACATTTTGTGGCCTAACATATGATCTATCTTGGAAAATGTCCTTTGTACTAATGAGACAAATATGTATTTTGCAGTTTTTTGGTAAAATGGTCTGTAAATATCTGTTAGGTACTTTGTTGATTTTCTGCTTTGGCAATCTGCCCAGTTCTGTCAGTGGAATGTTGAAGTCCCCAGGTGTTATAATATTGCTGTTTATTTCCTTGCTTAGATCTAGTAGAATTAGTTTTATGAATCTGAGAGCTACTGCATTAGGTGCATATGTATTGGGGATTTTATATCTTTTTGTTGAATTGCTCCCTTTAGCATTATGTAATGACCTTCTTTGTCTTTTTTTTTTTTTACTATTATTGATTCAAAGTCTATTTTATCTAATATGAGAATAGCTACTTCTGCTTGCTTTTAGTTTCTTTGTGTAGAATATTTCTTCCACTCCTTTACCTTGAGTGTTATGTGAATCTTAAGTTAAATGTGTTTCTTAGGGGCAGCATATATTTGGGTTGTGTTTTTTAATCCATTCAGCTAATGGATTATTAAGATTGTTTACATTCGATGTTAGTATTGCTATGTGAGATATTGTTATGTTCTTCATGTTGATTTTTACCTAGTTGCTTTGTTTTCTTTCTTGTGTTACTGTTTTATAAGAGCTGTGAGTTTTAAGATTTTGGTGGTTTTACACTGGTGAGTGTCGATTGTTCTGTTCCATGTGTAGCGCTCTTTTAAGTATATCTTGTAGGGCAGGTCTAGTGGTGACAAATTATCTCAGTATTTACTTGTCTAGGAGAGACTTTATTTCTTCTTCAATTATGAAACTTAGTTTTGCAGGATACAAAAGTCCTGGCTGGCATTTATTCTGTTTTAAGAAGACTAATAATGGGACCCCAATCCCTTCTGGCTTAGAAGATTTCTGCTGAGAGAAGTTTGCTGTTAGCCTAATGGTTTTCCTAATTTATGTTTCTTTTTTCTCCCTCAGGGACAGCTATGATTCTCATATTCATTCACTTTACCTAGTCCCATATTTCTTGCAGAGATTCATTCTTCTTTGTTCTACATTTTTGAATGACTGGGTTAATTTGAAAGCCTTATCATTAAGCTCTAAAATTCTTTCTTCTGCTTGATCTAATCTGTTGTTAAAACTTTCTACTGCATTTTGAAATTCCCTAAATGACTCTTTCCCTTCTAGAAGTTGTGTTACATGTTTTTGTGTATTATCTCTGTAGTGAATTTTCATTCATGTCCTGAATTATTATTATTATTTGTGTTTTTTTGTGTTTTCAACTTTTTCATTAATCCAATTGATCTTACTTATGATGCATACTCTGAATTCCATATCTGACGTTCTAACAATTTTCTTTTGGTTAGAGTCCTTTGCCGGAGAACAATTATAATCCCTTGAGGGTGTCAAAACAGCCTGTTTTTTTATGTTGCCAAAGTTTGTATGCTGGTTCCTTCTCATCTGAATTTTCTGTTCTTGGATTAAGACAGATAGCTTTTTGGTATACCTGTTCTCCTGTGCTGGGAACTTCAGTGCTCAGTGAAGAATGGGAGGAGTTCCTGAATGGCACATTTGAGTCTTACTCTTACTGTGCACTTCTGACCTTATCTTGTGTATTCAAGAAATGAAAAATAAATGTAATATTAATTTAAGTAAAAGTGCAATAGATTTACTACAATATAGAACTCAAATATAATCATGTGTTACAAAAACAAGTAGAATTCATTCCTAGGTCATGATATTCACACCAGAAGCACATATACTAGAACTCATTGCACATCCAATGTGATGCCTGGATTTCACCCATTGGTACATGATTCATTGTGGAAAGTTTCACTGACTGAGTTTGGTTTGGGTGAGAGCTTCCCCATCATTCTTGGGCCACATTAAACATTGTCAGGCTAAGATTTAAGGAACTGGATGATGAGGTCATTGCAGCAAATAAAATATTGTGGTAGAAAACAGGAGAAAGACTGGAGGAAGAAAGGTTATTCTTTTTTTGTGGAAAAGAGTTATAGAAATAACCATAATAATCCAGGAAGTATTATAAAGTATTATAATTCTCTGAACATAGCCATGGTGTTTAATTTGTTCAATAGCTTATGTCCACCAATGAATCATATTGATTACCTTCAGACCATTGTTTCCCTATAATCAAACTAATGCAAACTCCTATTCTGTGGTTTGATTTATGTCTCTTTATTAAAATTCATGTTTCGTCATTGTTTTAGTTTTAATATCTCTTATTCTGGGCTGTTTCCACTTTTCTGCAAGTCTCCCTTTAAAACAAAGAAATTGAGAACTTGAGTTGCTATTGAATGAAGCTTTTTGTCCCTGACCTTTACTGTGTAATCAGTGGGAAAGTTACAAGTCTGATAAATGGGAACTGATTTTTAGGGCATTTTAAGTTTCTGGGAGAAATAAATCAGATAGTTATCTTATTAGAATCTTCCACAGCAGATGTAACTGTGACGTAAATCAGAATCACCAAGATACAAAGCCCTAGGCTAAAGTAGATGCCAGAGCCTCATTTCAAAACCATGACAGACAGCCCATAATTCGCAGAACACAAGTATCATTTACTTCTTGGTGCCTGGAGTGAGAGTGTGTCACGTTGGTTTTGCTTCCTAACATCTCACACAATAAAACAAATCCTGGAATGGAAAGATATTGGAGACAGGTGCAGCAGTATGATTATGTTAAATTGAGAAAAGTCTTTCAAAGGCTCTCTAGAATCTTAATGATTTCCAAAGAGTCCCCTTTTGGCTTCCGTACCTTGCCTCTGGTAGCCTAATTATTAATAATAGAGTGTGACATTTTAGCTATTGCCAAGTGCCACTCCAGTTCAAATGACAGCTGTCAGGAAAATGTGGCAGAGGGCTGATGAGATCTTTAGCTACTAGCTATCTTTAGAAGATACTGTCTTTGGCTTAATGAGTGCTGTATTTCATAAGTAGCCATAGGTGTTTGGAACCATGCTTGGCATTCTTGGGACTCTAAAGAGAAGTTGGTAAGTTTTCAGCTTTTTAAATATAATCATCAGCAGGGTTTGAATACCTGCCCACCTACCATAGCGGACTAGGGAGTTATAGAGAAAACAGAGTCTTTGGGGTATTTATAAAATGATGGAGGAGCCATTAAAGATATGAATATACAAAACAACACCACAGAGACAACCATTGTGTAACCAGTTGCACCCATGCAGAAATATTCTTATTAATGAGGTTGAATATACCCTTTCAAGTGTGAGTCTTGGTAGGTGATAAATCTTACGTTCTAGGTGCTATAGGTGGCTATGCCACTTGGAAAATATTAGTGACCAATTCCAATCACCAGAGTAAACCATGTTCTCATCTGTAAACAGTGGTTGTCTGTCTTGCCTAACTACCTCACATAGTTGTTGCAAAATCAAATAAGATGAGGTATGTATAAGTCATTTGTAAGTCATAATGTGCTAAGCACATGAAATGTGGACTTATTATGTAGAATCTCATTACGTCTCAAATATATAGAAAATCTGGATTTACCTCCTGTAGTCTTTCTTTCTCACGCTTGGCATAATTCCTTCTTGGCTTTGAATAATGGCCTTGGCCCCTTTTCTCTGATCCTCAAACAGTTTAAGTGACCTGGGGACCCAGAAGGGTGTGAGTCTAGATATATGAAGTTATATCTACCAAGGCCTCATTAAATACAAACATATACCAAGTGTGTTTAGGGATGACCTTGGGAAACAGGTAGCCTGAAAATTTGACTATAAGTGTACTGAATACAAGCAAGAGTCAGATCAACTATGGTAAGAAAGGGAAAAATGTAAACCTAGAATAAGCCAAGATATAAATTACCATAAGTTGCTTTTTACTGGCTATGTCTGACAATTGAGTCTGAGATGTTTTTCCTGAGGGTGGTATCAGGTAGGTGAAATAGCATTTTATTCTGTAGCCCTGAGAAATGTTTGTTTGTTTGTTTGTTTTACACATAGTCATAAGTGAAATATAAATTTTTAGGTTTTTTGAGTTTCATTCAGTCTTCATTTTAACTTATATTCTGTTAGTCATTAAAAATAAATCACCATACCAAGTATATATGATGTCTATACCAGGTGCAAAAGATGGTCTAAACATTTGGGTATACATGTATTGTTAGCAATAATTAACCTCCAAAATGCTTACTGTGGAGTGGTTTGAGATAATTCTCAACATTTCTTTCTGTGACCTTTTTTGTCTCCTCGTGTTTGTGTTGATATGTTTCTATCACTGCATCTGAGGCTGTTAGTATTCCCTTTTGGGTTTTTTTGTATGTGTTCTGTCCCCTTTTCAACACAGCGGAGTTGCCTCCACCCACCATCTCACAGAACCTTAATGAACATAAGCACCTTCAGTGTGGGCTTCTTGACTTTGGGACTGACCAGATACTGTGGCCTTCTACCAATTTCCCTCCTGGCTAGTGGTTTGACTCCTGAAGGACCTTGTCCACCAGCCTGAGCCACACCTGTCCAGACCTGCCTGGATCCTGACAGCAGACTGAGCTTGAGCCAAAGCTCAGACCCCTGCTGTATACACAGTCTATGAAGGATAGCATGTCTCTTCCTGAAGGGAGAATTATTTAACATATCATATCCAACACAACCAAACAGACACACAGGTGAACCAAATGCTCCTTCATATTAATAGAAAGGCAATGGCGGAAACACTTTGAAGTGCTGCTAGTTATGTTCACCTGCTAGTTATGTTCACCTGCCACCAAAGTGCCCAACACCAAAGGCCTGAGATTTGCAATTTGTCCTGTGCAATGGTTTCTTTCTGTTCAGCTTTAAACAAAGATGAAAATCCAAACCCTTATACTAACTGAGTGTTCTTTTTCTTTAGCTCTGTTCTGGATACTTTGAGAACTATGAAAGAAGAATGAAATCATTTTTTACTCATCAAACTTGTAGTATAGTTGAAAAGAGAATTAATGCAAATAAGAATAAAGTAATACAAAACAACATATGGGTAAAAACAAGCATTGTAGAAAATAGATCATGGAGAAATCAGGAAAACTAGATCATTATCTGCTAGATGAGAGAAGACATCATGAAAGAAGGTTGAGGGATGCTAGAGTTTGGTGGATAGATAGGAAAAGACAGAGAACAGATTATGGAAAGGAAATAGCATAAATATAGGGACAGAGGCAGAAATGAAGGCAACACATTTGGCTAAAACAGAGTAAATAGAAGAAGAGGAAAATAATGTTGAATAGATTGAGTTTTAACATATTATGGAGACACTGACTGGTATACACATCCATATATTCTATTCATATGGAATTCAACATTTTCATTTGGAAGAAACCACACCTGTTTCTTTTACAAGGTCCTTGAACTGCAAAAACTAGGCCAGCATTAACAGTTGTTTAAGCTATGCCAAGTATGCAGTTGGGAATCAATAAATGCATTTTGGTTGAGAAATTTTTTATAAACCCCTTAACTGATAGCAGCCTCTACTATAGCTTCAAACGTCCCTGATAACACTTCTGAAGACTCCTGAAATATTTTTAAACCCAGAGAAACTTTGTGCTCATGTTATAGACATGCAACACCCAAAGCCTGTGGCACTTTGGAAGCTTCAGCATCTGTCCTGTGAGCTGAAAATAGATGACTGTAACCCTAGACGGTGTTTGTACAGCATGCTTAGCACAAGATTCACTTTAATATGCTCATCCTTGTTTGGAAGCCCAAAGGAAATGAAATTTGCTGTTTTGTGCTCCCTGGCCTTGTGGTTTGTGGTAGATCTTTTCAGTACAAAATGTGCCCCAAATGGTCTGTTCTATTTTGATCTTCTGAGTGAGGATTTACCCTGGAGGCTGTCAACCGAAAATAATCAAAAATATCAGAATATTGTTTAAAGACAGCTGCTTTAGGGAGCGTTTCAGAGAACAAAAAAGAGGCTCAAGTTTTTTTTTGTTGTTTGTTTGTTTTTGAGACAGACTCTCACTTTGTTGCCCAGGCTAGAGTGAGTGCTGTGGCGTCAGCCTAGTTCACAGCAACCTCAATCTCCTGGGCTCACGTGATCCTTCTGCCTCAGCCTCCCAAGTACCTGGGACTACAGGCATGCGCCACCACGCCCGGCTAATTTTTTGTATATATATTTTTAGTTGGCCAATTAATTTCTTTCTATTTTTAGTAGAGATGGGGTCTCGCTCAGGGTGGTTTCTCGAGCTCCTGACCTTGAGCAATCTGCCCACCTCAGCCTCCCAGAGTGCTAGGATTACAGGCTTGAGCCACCACGCCCGGCTGAGACTCAAGTTTTTAAAGACTCTGGAGAGGGGCTGATTACAAAAGTTGTTGTCAGGAATTCTCATTAGTTTATAGAAGTAACATTGGTTAGTGATTGGCTTATACATTGTTGAACTATAGGGTGCATGGCATTTTAAGGCTACTTGGAGTCAGTCTAGAGCCCACATAGCAAGTGGCTTCAAGAGGTAATTATTAATATTTAGGTCAAGGGGGAGTGGGACGTGACTGCCGTTACATCTTAAATGCCTTTGCCGGCCTGATAATTTAAAGAGATTTGTGTTCCTTAGATAAAAGGTTTTTCTTTCTCAAGGCACACACGGTCATCCCTAAAGTTAGAATTGGAAGATTTCAGAGATAACTTTAGTCAGCTTCCTCATTTTCCAAATCAGGAAGCTGAGGTTCTAATTGGGTTAAGAGACCTCCCCCAGGCTACATTACCTAGACCAGAAGTGCACACTCTGCAGTTTGGGTGTCCTGACTCCTCCTAGAGACTGCACAGCACCTGGTTTCTGTTGTCCCACCAAGGTGTGGACAATCCGCAAGTCAGTTTAGCACGCCCAAGCTTCACCTTTGTGAGTCCTTTCCCAACAGTGGGACAAACTCCTCCTCCTTCTTGAGCCTTCAAATCTTGAGCCTTCCTAATTTAGATTTCTTCCCCCATCAAAATGGAAATGGATGTAATTAATTATATTAGCTGATTAACTGATCGCATTTTATATGAGTGAACATGTCACTTCTTCCACAAAGAACTATCTTTAAAAAGCCTCTTTCAGATGGGCAGGAAATTGGGAAAAAAAGAAATTTGGACATTGGGGATTGAATTTCTCTGAATCTTTCCAAAAAAGAAAATTGGAAATTTAAAAAAAAAGGATAAAAAAGTCTGTTATGGTTTTTAAACTGATAAGAACAGATAATATACTTGATCTTAGCCAAAAGGCCAATAAGCAATCTCTTATGCTTTTTATTGGACGGGAAGGCCAAGCTCCTGCCCAAAGAGGAGCAAGAGTCAGGAAGCAGGCAGGGACATACATTTAAAGGAAAGAGGGACACTAAAAATTACACCCTAAGACTTGTGCCAAGGTTAGTTCACTTTTCACCTTTTTATGGTTCTTGCAAGGTGTCGGCCTTAGACCCAGGGAGGGCTTCCTGATTCCTTGAGAAGGGCATTCCAGTGCCCAGAAGCATGTCCCACCTTGACCGCACCCTGCCCGGCATAGATCTGCTTGATCAGCTTTCATCTGATGCCCATGTTTCCCTCCGCCTTCCCTCCTCCCATTGTGTTCTTCTTTTTATTACTTAACATAATGTTGACTCTGTTTCCTTCTAACCAGCAGTTTGCAAATTGTGGCCTCTGATCAGCATCATCAGCATCACCTGAGTGCTTTGTAAAAATGGAACTTCTTGGGCCCACCCCAGACCTATTGGATTAGACACCATAAGAGGCATGGCCCAGCCATCTGTGTTTTCATTACATATTATAAATAATATTTTTGTACTTGAGCCTTCTATATGTTTTTTCTTTGTCTAAAACTGGCCCTGAAACTGTTTTCTTTTCAGGGAAAAAGTTTCCAGTTTCCAACACTAAACGTTTGGTTACAGTGTCTTTCTGAAGATTGAATGCAGTCTGGGTGTTGCCAGAAAAGATTTGCAAGGCTATTGCAAGCAGAATCCAGGCCAGCTCTCTCATCAGTGGGCCACTCCTGGATGAAGCATTAGATCAGAAACCTCTGTTCCCT